AAATATATAAAGTAAAAAAATAACTACTAGAAAAACCTCAAATGGAATATTTTAAAAAATTTCATATAGATAAAAAAAATATAAATTAAGTAAAATATATTTATAGAATCAATAAAAATTATACAAAAATTACATCAATTATCATGGTACAACTTAAAATTTTTACATATCAAAACATCATTATGGATCAAAGTATTTATAAAATTGTTACAAAATTAAATTTATTTTTAGAGAGACAAAAGAAGAAAGGAAAAAGAAAAAGGAAGATGATAGAATTTGTAATACTACTTGAGATTTAAAAAAGAAATCATACTTTTGAAAAATGTCATTCGGTAAGGTGTTTCTGGAGACGCGGTTCAAGACTTGTTGAGGTGGTTTGTCCTTTAGTGGAGGCCCGACACTCGATCGCAGCAAAAAATTATTTGTAATCTCTTGTATTATTAAGTTTGAAGTTTTTAATTTTTTATTTTATTTTATGATATTTTTAATTTCTCATTTGACTAGATTTATAGGTTTTAATCCCTCACTTATTAAAATAAAAAAAAATATCCCTCATTTTATACTATTTGTTAACTCTATTAGTTGAAAGTAGATTTTTATCATCTAATAATTAATTAATAATCAATTAACAAAATTAACGAAATATTATAAAATTAGTTTTGTTAACTTATATTAGTTGAAAGAAAGTTTTTGATAGCTAATAGACAATTAACAATTAGTTAATAGAATTAATAGTCAACTAACAAAATTAACAAAATATTACAAGCGAGAGCTATTTTTTTTAATTTTAATAGGTAATGGTTAAAAGTATCATAGTATAAAGTGAAGAGCTAAAATATATAAATCTAGTAAGGTGAGAGGTTAAAAATATTATAGTATAAGATGATGGGTTAAAACCTTCAAACTTAACAAGATGAGAAGCTAAAAGTAGGCATCTGCCCTAGGTGGTTTCATCCGAGTTACGAGAGATGTTGCCGCGTGGGCAAGGCAGAAGTTGTCACCCTCACAACAAGGCATGAGTTGCCGAGGACGTTGGTGCCCATGGACAGGGGTGGCCTATTTTTTTTCAGGTCAACGTGCCGGTGCCCTAAAAAATATAATTTATACTCAACCTTCTAATTTATACTCTTTTTTTGATATGGGTATACTTTTCTTTTAACGTGAGTTTGGAGGCATTTCAACCATTAAGAATGGAGGACAAGAGCAAGATGGATTCTTGGGTGTGATTATGTGGGTATGGTTATGGTCACTAATTTTTTTTAAGGTAATTAAAACTGTGTTAAAAAAATATAAATTTTATTTAATTTAATTATTAAGAATAGTTAATAATGATAGACACCATTAAAATTCTTATTTTTAACAACTATTTATCAGTAACATGGGTGTGTTTGTCGGTGATATAAACTTTCACCGACAAGACCCATGTTATTGATCAATGTACAGTACCTTTTCCCTTTTAAAAGTACACTTCACATTGAGTAATAAAGGTTTTGTTGTTAAAAAAGAGAATTAGTAACATAATACTTATTGTTGAAATTTTTCGATGACCTAAAATTTTAGTAACATATACAATGTTACTAAAGTTATACATTAGCAACAAGATCCATGTTGTTAATACTTCCACAATCAGCAGCAACAAGGCCTATATTATTGAAACCAAGCATGAGCAACATGGCTTATGCTACTAAAATATAAAATTACAAAACTATCCTTCCTTTTATCTTCTTCCCCAATCCGACAATCCCCTTCTCGCTCTATTCACATTACCTTCTCCCCCTCTTTCAACACTAGCATTGATGTTCTTACCCCTTCTCTATCAACGGTGCCAGCATTCTCTTCCTTGTTTCTCCCTCCTCCCTACTTCACTTCCCTCCTTATTTCCCTTTTCTTCTTCCTTTTTTACTTTTCCACGTGGGATCAGGGAACCTAGATCTAAGGCAAAACCAAAACCAAGTTTGGCAACCCAAATGAGGTTTCAACCTGATGTGGGTTGCATCCTAATCAAAATAAGGATTCAATTAGCACAACTTTCAACTAGAAT